TATTTTATCCATCACCTCTCGAAAAATGTACAAAATTAAATGTAAAATACTCTCTATAAAATTTCTGTTGCTCAAACAAACCATAATTTTTATAGCCTTCAATTTTGTTTGTTTACAGAGCTATCGAATAGAAAATCAGACCCCTCCTGCCACATCCTCTCTTTTATAATTCGTTGATAGTTCTCTCTTACATTTCATTATATATTACTTATAACCAATAGAAAGTCAAGGTTTTCATCTATCAAATGACATATTGTATAACGTTGTATTCTGAACAGAATATTGTCAATTTTAACCACAGTACAAGATTCATTCTTGTGGGGAAGTTAATGACTAGCTTGGATGAATTTGTAATGGCTCTTGCCGAATAGTTAGAGAGCCAGGAAAATTTTGAGAGGTAAGTGAATTTGTCTACTTTTTGCAGTTATAAGTCTATATCTTCAGTGCATTATTTAATTAAATAAAAATTATTAAGTGCATTACTATCTATAGTATAAAAAATTAGGGTTAATCTTTTTGAAACCAACAGCAAGAAAAAAAAATTGGATAAGTACTTTATTTCTTGTTTTTCATATTTATTATTATAAAAGTAACTAAAATCTAAATATAAGGATCTTTTTATGTTATTTAAGACTAGATTAGGTAAAATAAGTAATAATAATAATAATATAATTAAAATGGTTCATGAGGCACACACGTGAGCAGCTCGTGGGTAATGTAATTCAATAGCGTAATATGAGCTGCATGTTCCTCGAGTGATTTACAACTTATAATAGTGAGGACAGTAGTTAGATACAGTTCAAAGGGCAATACAAAGGGCAATAAAACGATAAAATTTAATTATAAATAGATGTATACTGTTACGACCTTAGAACTACTTGAGATAAACGAATGTAGTTTCATTTTACAATTTGAAGTCATTTTAGAAAGAAAAAAAGGTAATTTAGGTTTATTCAATTCATTTTTAGTGGTTACAAGGTTGGTCGAATTGACCAATCCCATTTTGAGATAAGGTAGAGAAAATAACAGATAAACTATAAAGTTTTACTGAAAAAAATGTTTGAAATACATGTAGGAGGTTTTATGGATTACACAAAGGAAATATCAGATTTTTGAGATGAGGGAAAGTATTTTTAGCTTTAACATGAAAATTACTTTGCACATGGACTGTTCAAAGTAAATACTCAATATATTCTTGGACAAATCTTTATTTTATTAAAAATATGATTTTTTGTATGTGAAAGACTTAAAATTTGAACTGAAAGACTGCTAAATTTTGTGAAGATATACATACTATATTGAAAGTTAGAATATTAAATCTATAAAGACTTTAATCGAGTACAAAGATGTCACATGGTCGGTCAAATTGACCGAGCCCATGTTGAGAGAGTTAATATGACTTCAAATAAAATGTTCATTCATCAAGGTTATGAACAGTTATCAATTTTAGGATTCTAAAATATGCATAAGTGACCATAAGTGTCAAGCTGATCAAACCATACGATATTTTGAATACTGTACATATTATTTTGATGTTCCTACACTATGGGTCCTAGTTACATGAAAACTGCCAGAAATTAAACACTACTGGCATGGATATTCTCTATGAATAGCAGTAAAAACCAATTAGATTATTTTAGTTACTACTTACCTAGCATGAACTAATGTTTCCCGAGCCATTTTTGTCAAGACATCAGCTGTTTCAATAAATAAGCTGGACTGCTTGTCTAAAAATCCCATGATGGCCTTGGAACAAACAAGTACAGAATTAAGACTAACTGAATTTCTTCTTATTTATAATATATTCAAAGAACTCCACAGATAAAGAATTGTGATTTATAAATAAAAACTGGAACAAAAAATTCAGTTGTGAGATCCTACTGCCTTGAACAATACCCAAATTATGCCTAATGAATGAGACTGATCATATTCTATATTCAACAACACAGTTACAACTTCTAAACAAAATAATCATATACACTAAAAATAAAGATTGAGAATAATATACTAAGTTTGCAATTAAAAGGATATTATTCTTTTTCCAGTTTTACAAGATCCATGTTAGCTGAAGACTATGAATTAAATCAAAATATCTTAAAATGTTACAAGGTGAACATACTTTATATTTTATTTAAAACAAAATCCATATACTTGCTCGAAAAATAGTTAATTCAAATCTTGCGTATTATAAAAGGCACCATGGGATACATCAGATCTTTGAAGATCATGTTAAAATTCTTTAACATAATACAGTTGAAAATGTTTAAAACAACTTATTTCATTTACTTTTAAGATGCTAAAACCATTTTTGAGGTGGTAAGCCTAATGCAGGTTATATAACATCAATTATAGAATACTTACAGCACATTTTTCTACTTTGGATGCACTTGCAGCCCATTTAACCAGAGCCAACAACCTTACAAAAAGTTGACGTGTTCGACTAGCAAACTGAACTATTTCAATTTTTCTATCCATGTCTGTTTTACGAGGTAACCTGGAGAACGGAAAAATAATTATTTAACCTTGGATTAAAAAAAAAGGACAAAACATAATTAATAACTTTTAATGTATCATCTCAAAACTGTTAGCAGAAGAAGAGCAATATAGAATATGATACTTACTCAAATAACAATTTACAGTTTTCAGGTGATGTTAAAGCCTTCTGAATGGCATGAATGTAAGTGGACTAAACACTTACACCAAAGTATAGTAGCTGTAACTATTACAAGCATGGTCCAATTTAGTTTTTTCTACAGGTGTTGAGAAACTTACCAAACAACAGTAGTAACTGCTGTACTAAAGCTACATTGACAAAGCAATGATTTCAAAATATATACAGTATCAGTTTAAAGTATATTCACTTTTCCAATCTCATGAGTTTCACATTGAAATCTACTTACAGCTCAGCAAGCACTGTCAAGTCATGATACGTCTTTTGCAGAATGAACTCAATAAGACGTCCAAGAGGAATGGTTCCACCACCAGGAGGAAGTGTTGGTGTTATTTGCATATTTCCTACTGGGGTCTGGCGGCCATCAACAGGAAGTGGAGCCATGGTTACAACAACTACGTCACTATCACCTAAGATAAAAAGAAAAGACAACTGTACCAAGAAATTACTAGCCAACTGCTTTAATTCCATGATACAATAAGTTTGAAAAAACAAGGCACTTTGATCAAACCATGTTGGCATACTTATCTTTGGATCTGTTGTAGCAAAGAAATTTAGCCCACTGACCCTCATTAAGGATCCTCAGCCATAAAATTAATATTATCTATTAAATAACAATTCTAAAATGGAAATTATAAAAAAAAACATAATTTATGAATAAATAAGTATAATGTACACTATTTACAAAATTCACCTGAACATCTATTTTTTATGAAAAAAATATATATGTGTGTGTGTGATAATACATTTCTCTAAAGTTACTTGATATGTAAAAAATTAAGATTATTTTGTGCTCTTAGCAAAGCATATGAATTTCTAACTATCCTACATCTTCTAAACAGCTAAACCTCATGGAAATATTATCCAAATGGTGGCCATAAATATTGTTGATAGTTAGGATACCCAAATGATGATTCAAAGCATTTTAATCATTCAGGTTTCAGTTTCCTTATCTACTAATTTTTAACAATAACATACTTTTATCATATTGCTACATAGAAATGATTTCATTTACTTAGAAATTACTTTTTTAGTTTTAATCTATGTAGGTAGTTAGGAAGACCACATATGAGCTGGAAGATAACTCTCCAGAAGGATATGGAATCTGCTGGGTCAACATGGGAGGAATTACAATAAACTGCACAAGATAGAGGTGAATGGAAGTGTTGGATTACCCAGTGCATCAAAAATGATGAGACACAGACTGGGGCCTCAGCCTGAGCTGACTGAATAAGGAAGTTTTGGAAATCATATCACAGGTGGTAACCCTAGATAAGACTCAACCACCGAGTTGACTGAGCCTTAAGATTTTTAAAAAAATAAATAGTTCATTAATGTTCTAAACTATAATGGTTACATATGTCATTTGACATTGCAAATATGTAATTACTATCTCTCGGCACAATCAAACATACCTCAAACATATGTTCCTGATTTTGTAACAAAGCAATTTCCTTCCAGATTCTTCTATTTCCATTTATTTGAATATTTGAGAAACATTAAAATGTCTTGAATAGAATAGCATTTCATTGACGTAGTTATAATGTGAAAAACCTCTCTAGAATAATAAAATCTAAGTGTCATGTGTGACTGTAATTTCAAATATAAGACATATTTTACCATATTCATTGAATGATTGCTAAATGATCTACTAAATATTTAGCTGTTAATACATGCAAGCTTAATTACTTTAGGCCTATTATATGATTCATATAGAAATGTCTTTACTCTTAACAGTTCCATTGTTTTACATAGCAGGATCCAAGACTTAAATGAAAGATTACCAGAGATATAAGTAGACATGATAATAAGCTAGAAATTCAGATAAAATTAGAAGAAAAAGACATACAACAAGTACAGAAATTCACATACTTGGGCCAAACCATAACAGGTGATGGAAAATGTGAAGCTGAAATAATGAAGAAGATTGAGGTGGCAAGAGGTGCCTTTAATAGTATGAAAACAAGTCTGACATCAAAGCTCATAAGAGTAAAAGCAAGGAAGAGGTTCATAAAGTGTTATATATGATCAACTATGTTATATAGCTGTGAAACATGGACCTTACACAAGCAATGATTAACCCTTTCCAGACGAATCACGGATGAAAGGCCATGTCATCTCGTTTGTTGACTCGCATTCAAAATTTTATTGAACTACTATTTCATGAACTTGTGTCAATAGATTGGTATCAAACTGTAGATTACAATTCACATTTTAGTATTATACCTTGCTCAATTTCTTAATTTAAAAGTAAATATTAAAAAACAAATTTAAATATCGATTTTTGTATGCTATGTGGTATGTTGAATGCAGCACTGGTTC